GCATCTTGAATGTATGTTCATTTTATGGCCAAAATGCCTTACTAAGCATTGAGATCTAGTATGTCTCCCACAGTCTGCAATCTGTCCGTATTAGCCATTTCTAAATCATGCATAACTCAGAAGTTTAGAAATGGAATATCCTTGCTTTAATTCTTCCTCAGAGAGGAGTCTTTTTTCTTTCCTATTTATATGTGGGAAGGATTTTTTTTTTGACAAATTTACTATATTGATTCTTTGATAATTAACTTCAATGGAAATGTTTTTGTGCATGCAAATTGATTTTTTCATTATATTTAGAGCCACATGATATAAATATTATGTTGAAATGTTTTTACTGTAATAATCTTTTCCTTCTTAGCTTATATTTTTGTTCATCTCCAATATCCCCCTACACTGAAATAACAAAAAACATTCGTGAACAGTTTTTCTAAAAGTTTAAAGTTCTGTTTTCTGCACTTAGATATATTTTTCCATCACACATATTTGTCTATATAAGGTAAAGATTTACTTTTTCTCTCAATGTCTAATAAATGATTTCACAGTATTTATTGAATAGCTAGTGTTTTCTCACTTTTCCTAAAATAGAGAGCCATTTCTCAGCTCCTGATTTATTTGAATTATTTTGTCCTATCTCAACAGAATGCTCTACCAAGTACATATTCATTCAGTTTCCATAGTCCACAGTTTTGATACATCTCTTTTTAGTTTTTCCTTCATCCAATTTTTCTTGGCTTTTTGATTTTAGCCCTGACAATTGTATTTTAATGTTTAGGATTGACTTTTCAATTCCCATTTAAAATGTCAGAATTTTTATTCAAAATAATTATATTCCTACACTATATAGAGTTGACAACTTTCTATTGTGGAATATTCCTATTCACACATCTGGTGCATTTCCTATTAACATAGGCTTAGGATGTGTTGTCTACATTGGTCTGTACATCTGACCTCATTCATTTATTCCTGGAGATGCTGATGGTTTTTGTAGTTACTGCACTATAACAAATGTTCATTTTCTGCTTTCTTGTGGATATACTACTATGAATAAGAATATTAGTAAAATGTGTAAAGTTTGTTGAACGCAAGATATGTTCATCCTTGTTGGGTGCTGACTTTTAGGATTCTCCTTTTACCCACTGAGTTATCAGGAAAAAATCAAGTAGAAATGTGAGTGGCTTTCACTGCCAGCTTTACAAAATAAAAAGTGTTAATTCAGCTGAGCCTGGGAGGGGAAAAGTCTTAATGAATAGGATTGGTTGGGAAATAATTAAGCAATACACAGAAAGAAAGCTGACATTTTTAAGCCATAGAAAGATTTCAAAATGCATCTGGATATGGTTTCAAAGCAATCAATTATTTAACCGTTTCTTTTACTTATGTTACTTTTCTTTACTGACATTTAGCTCTAATACATTCTTTCCCAAATATCTATAAGCACACAGAGAGAATATCAAACCCAAAGCTTCTTTTATGTATTGAATTTGGCCAGCATGGTTGATAATTTCCTAACCCCAATGGATGCATCAAGGGACAAATTCCATGTCCAAAGTGACTGTATATATGATTTTGTTCGCTGATGTAGTATCAGCACTTGCTTCTGTTCCTGCTGCCTGGTACAAGTTCAGTCAGTACTTGAGGGATTGTTGAACGAGTAAGTAAAGGAAATCTCCACACATCTTATTTGCTACAAAGTGGCTCTTACAATAAGTTGTGCAACACAGAACTTCCAGACTTCATCATGGATTTAACAGTAAATCTACTCTGGGGCTAGGTACGGTAGCCTAGTGGCTGATAATCCTTGCCTTGCATGTGCCGAGATCCCATACGTGTGCCAGTTCTGATCCCTGCAGCCCCAGTTCCCATCCATCTCTGTGTTTGTGGTCTGGGAAAACTGTCAAGGACAGCCCAAAGCCTTGGGACCCTGCACCCCTGCATGGGAGACCCAGAAGGAACTCCTGGTTCCTGGGGTGGGATCAGCTCAACATTGGCTATGGTAGCCACTTGGGGAGAGAATCAGCAGATGGAAGATCTTCCTTTCTGTTTATCCTCCTCTCTGTATATCTGATTTTCCCAATAAAAATAAACAAATCATTTGAAACAAAAGAAAAACAAATTCTACTCCAAAATCTACTCTGTTGTCCATCATATAAACAGATTTATGTGAATTAAAATGACAGATTATGAAGGGGCTATCCTCTGGTGTCAGGAGAAGGAAACAGGGAGAGATAGGGGAAGGAGAGGGAAGAAACACTATTCCTACAAAACTGTATCATGAAAAATAATAATAATAAAAAACAAAATTAAAGAAGAAATATATTGACCTCCACTTAAAAAAATTAGAGAACCTGATTCAGAGGATTCCAGAAATGACTTGAGAGTTTAAGATTGTTGTAAGACTCACATAAGAAAATAAAACAAATATTTTTGTAGAATATCAAGTTCTGGAGCTGACACAATGGTATAGTAAGCTAATCCTTTGTTTGGGGTGCTGGCATCTCATATGGATGCTGCTTTGAGTCCTGGCTGTTCCATTTTCAATCCAGTTCTCTGCTACTGGCCTGGAAATGCACTTGAATATCATTTGTACACACCCACCCATAGACAGTTCATTCCCTAGGTTTCCCCTAAATTCTATAATTGTATATTTAACTATGTTACTAAAAATCCCCACTTGCATATCTAATTAGCATCTTAGCTATGTCCAAATCTGAAATTCCAAATGGCTGCCCATCCCCCAACAGAGAAAAGAATTACCATCTCTAAAAGTCTCTACCATGAAAGTTGGGAGCTCAAATTCTGAACCCATGTGGGAGAACCCGAGAAAGTCCTGATTCCCAACTTTACACTGGTCTAGCTCTGGCCATTTGGGGATGGAAGAATCTTTCTCTTTTCCTCTTTCTGGTAGAAATAGATAAACCTTAAAAAAAAAAAAAGTTCTATATCTGTCAACACCTGTAACATTCTTGAGATCATTTCAAGCATCCTCAACTCCCTACCCTCCTAATATTTCATATCTTACAGTGTGTATGTGTTGTATGTGTGTATCGGTCACAGTTGGGTGGGTTTAGAGATGAAATTAGATAATTTATATAATGTGCACAAAACTACCACATAATTGGCAAGCTGTCCCCACCTGCAGGACACGATGCTCAAATCCTGGACTGGGAATGCCAGGCTGCTAGCCCCCAGCTGCTGGCGCAAGAAACACATGGACACACATACTTGGTAGAAAAGAGTGCCCAATGCCCTTTATTTTACTCTCATATACATACCTTCTTCTCTAGGGGAAGGGGAGGGGTTTCCTGGAACTACTTATTTTCATTGAAGCAGGGAAGGAACTAATCATCTATATTGAAGCAGGGGAGGGACTAATTATTTGAATAGGAACAGGGGTGGAGGTTCTATTCTGCTTGCTCCACACAGGATGTTCTGGCCTAATACCCTGCTTGCTGTGGCCCTGCTTGCCCAAGGCAGGCTTTGCAATGCAACAGGCTGCCAGGTAGGCCAAGTCTAAGGCCCCTAAGTCTGTGGCTCCCAAGAGGAAGCAATACAGATTCAATCTTGCTGTTATTTTTCCAAAATGTTCTGAAACTCAAATAGGAGCCTGTCCCGTCCACACAAGTGCTCAGTGAGTTCCAGAAGCCTGACTGCAGACACAGGTCCTGCCTTGGCACGTGGCTTTTCCCTCCCCATACTGCTCTCATCCATGGTCCTTCCCTCCCCTCCTTCCTTTATCAACTGATCACTCACTCTGGAATCCGCGTTTGGGTATACTATGGTCTTCAAGCCTCTAGGATTTGACACCACCTGTTCCCTCTTTCAATTCATGCTTTTCCTCCCATCTTGTATCTAACCCCCTGCAAAAAAGTATTTGACACCACCCGTTCCCTCTTTCAATTCATGCTTTTCCTCCCATCTTTTATCTAACCCCCTCCAAAAACCGTTGTTTTCCTTCCACTGTCTCCCACTCTGAAAAGCATCTCTGTGACTCAGGCAGAATTTACAACCTTCCAGCCTCTTTTTAAGCTACCTGGACGGTCATGAATCCCACCAAGATTTTTGTCTCTCTTCCTGATTGCTCTGTGAATTTCTCTAGATTAGGAACCCCAGGTCAACTCTAAAGTTCCCAAATGCCTAGAATGGAGTGAGGACTTCTTTATGCGATTTAGAAGATGAACAAAAGCTGCCCCCCAGGGTCTCTTACCTAATATGTGCACAGTAACATTTGTCCAGGTGATTCAACGAATTGATTGTAAGTTGATTCAAAGCTTGCACCTGCAGAATCCCAACTTACAAGCTAACAGAGGTGACAGAATTGGGGAATTTCAGTACCTTGCACAGGCTGAGCAAGCTAACAGGGTAGCTACTGAATAAACACACGTTTCTAATGGGAACTGTCCAAGAAAAAAGGGACTTGGTTCAGGTGGCACTAAAGGATTGCCTACTCAGAGCCTCTGCCTTCCCCCCTCCCCTCACCTCCACCTGTTCCCAGGGAGAGACAAGGAGGAGTGAGGTGGGAAAACCAGGCAGGGGAGTGGGACGTCGGCCCTCCCCTTCCCAGCACCTCCTCCTCCCTCAGAGAAGGCCTGCACCGACCACACCAACCAGGGGACTTGAGCCTCCTGCGGCTCTTTCCCACTCCTTCTCTGGCTCTTCCTCTCCGCTCTGCGCCTCCACACTCCTCCTTCTCAGACCTCGGTGACTGCTAGGAAGGATGCCAGTCCTGGGCTGCCCGAGCCTGGGAGAGCAGTGAACCGGCGAATGAAAACCCCAGAGCCACGGCGGAGAGGAATCCAGTGGAGCAGCCTCCAGCGCTCCAGAAGTCTGTGTGCACTCGGCTGGGAACAGCAGGTTGTCCGCCACTACCCCGAGAACGCCGAGCTCCCCGAACAGGAACTTTAAAGGGAGTGAAATCTGTTGCCTGTTCCACTAAGGAATCCTGTTTGCCAGACACAAGGTGTCTTTTTGGTAGTGAGCACTCTCCGCGCATGCGCAGGTCCATTCGGGAATTACTGCCCAGCCGCGGACTAAGTTGCATTCCTTGAATCTTCGCAGAAAAGACAATTCTTTCATCAGAGTTAGTAATGTGGACAGCACAACATCGAGAGAGTCTGGGGCTCCTCTCTTTGCCTGTGATGATTGCCATGGTGTGTTGTGCACACAGGTGAGCCGCAGTTCTGAATCTCTTTGCTTTTCCATGCCTGCTGGATCATGTCTCTGTCATTCCCGGGGTAGGTGCCCCGGGTATCCCTTTTTCTAAATGTCTGCTCGCAGTTTGTGCTCGTTCTGAATGCGGTCTCCACTTCTCCCCTTCAGCGCCAACGAACCCAGCAACATGTCCTACGTGAAAGAGACGGTGGACAGATTGCTCAAAGGCTATGACATTCGCTTGCGTCCGGACTTCGGAGGTAATGTTTCATGTTATTTCAACCTGTAACCCATCCCTAGTTCCCACTGAAAATCAGCGATAAATGCGATTTTTTTTTTAAAGACAGGCGTGTGGCTTTTTAAGCATGCACTACGCCCTGGACACACACACACACGCACTCGCTGCCCAGACCCCCAGGCTCAGGTGCAGCAGCCCCGGGCTGAGCCTTCCTGCCCCGGCCGACACACCCTCTGCATAGTCACTGCATCACGCCTTTGCCCACACCTGTTTTCCCAGGCGGGCCCCTGCGGGGAGGTTCAGAGGGATGGAGTGGGGAGGGAGCCCTTTGGGAAGCTGGTGAGGCCGGCGGAGCCCCCCGCCCCGCCCCTGCCCTCGGACACTCCGGGAACGGGGTCCCTAATGCGGTCCCGCCTCGCCGGCAGGGCCCCCGGTGGACGTGGGGATGCGGATCGATGTCGCCAGCATCGATATGGTCTCCGAAGTGAACATGGTGAGTGTCTTACGCAGATGCGACAAGCCCCGTCCCCGTGTCCTCTGCGTCTCCCTGGCGGTCACCTCGCCCCTGGCCCCCGGGGGTCCCGCCCGGCGCGCGCCCCTCACTCGCCGGCACGCACAGCCCGCGGCCCTCTGGTTTGTATTTTGGACACACGCACGGACTACTGCGGTGTTCCGGAGGAAACGTGCTCGGCTCTATTTTGGGAAGGATGGGTGGCTGTTGCGCCGACTGATGGGTTGGGGAGGAGTCTGAGCGCTGGTGCGGCCGGGTTTCCCGGCGCGTGCGGGTGCGGAGGGCACCATCTGCCGGCCGCCTGCGGGAGGGTCCCCGCACGGGTGGGCTGCAGGACCCCACAGCTGGCCAACCCTGCGCGCCCGGGGTAGCCACAAGCGAACCGTCGGGGTTCCAGCCGGCCTCCTGGCGCCTTCAGGCCGTGGCACGCCTGTGGCTGGAGCAACAGGCGCAGAGAAAAGCTTGTTAGTAGGCAAAGTCCTCGGGCCTGGCTCCTGGGAGCCTTGGCGTGGTTCCCACGTGGAGGTTGATGAATTTGTCTTGTTGCATCTTGCAAATTCAAATGGAAGCAAAATGGATTGAGTTCTCTGGCTGTGTTGGACCCTTGACCCCTAAGCATCTTCGAAAAGACTGAAGACGGAATGGGGCAGGGAGGGAGTGCCTCGCGCAGCCTTTCCACCTGCCTGGTGACCCAACACTCTTGGATTTGTTTTTTGTTTTCTTCATGCTATTTGAAGCAAAATGGGTTGAAAACATAGCTGCCACTTCCTCTGATGGCTGCTTTAAGCACTGTGGGTAGCAGTTTTCTAGTTGTTGGAGTTTCTGACTGTTGCTTTGTGAAAGGCAGGGAGAAATGCCTGTTGCTTTTCTAGGATCAGTTACCCAGGGAACAGCTAGACCTAAGTGAGCCAAGTGCTGTTTTTAGTCCACAGAAGAAACAATGTTCTAGCAGCAAAAATGTAGACAGTCTGAATAATTAGAAGACCAAAACCTTTTGGATTTTAAAGCTTTATATCCACGTTTTGAGTTTTGATTTTTATTCTATTTCGATACGAGTGTGCCATTTTATTTTAATATGCACAAGTTTAAGATTTTTTTTGTTGCATTATATTTTTTTTTTTAGATTATTCCCAGGAAGAAATATTTATAGACTGTTGTATAGGACTAACATAAACCTTGGAGCATTACATTTTTGTATTTTCAAGCTGTAACTGCTACTATTTTGTGTAATTCATTTAAAATATGGTTTTAGTAAGACTTTCATTGTTTCACTGAAAGAAACCTGAGTTTGAAAGCACAGGGCACACAAATGAATATTTCTGTCTTGTCATAGATGTTTTATTTCAAACAGACGCACCATTTACATACTGTTGACATTCATGTTGACACCATACAGCAACCCAAACACATCATTTGCAAATATTCTGAGGATAATGTAGACCTAGGCAGGTTGTATCTAATCCATGTGGGTTCAATTGGACAAATTATCCAATGAATTTGTTTAACAAGTCATATCATCTAGTTAAATAATGCTATTTCTTGTTACAGAAATTTATTTTAGTACCTAGTAAGCCACCAGATACATTCATAAAACAATGATTCAAAAAGCAGAAACAGCAAAGGGTAACTTTAAAATAGTCTACCTTGCTCTAGCAGTCTTCACACTGTTTAGAATTTCCAAAAATAAGTAATTCTAATTTATTCACATAAACCTTTCTACTTAAAAAATGTAGCTGAATATATACATTGCCATTAATCAGAGTAACTGCAATAGAAAGCTCCAAATAACCACTTTTTAATTAAATCCATACATTGAAAGAATTGACACTTCTTCCTAATGATTGCGTAGTACTGTTTCATGATGGCAGCAATGTATATATGCACTTGATTTTAAAAATACCTATGAAATAATTAAGACATTGATATATATTCTATAAAATAGCCATTATTTTTTCACTATGCTGTTAAAGACATTCTGTGCAAATAGAAACCATTGAAAATTGAAAGCTAAAGCTTAATTTACTTTTTCTTCCTTCTCTTTCATTTTAATGAGAGGTGCTGACACCATTCAAAAACATTTTTTTCCTTCTCTCACCTATGAGAAAGCACTGTAATAAGCTCAAAATAACTTTATGCAAAATGGAAACAAGGAAAAAATATTCTTTTCCTGCAAAGAATAAGAAAATTGTTTGCAATATCTTTGGTTTTCAATAATGTAAATTGGGTTGAAAGACTATGAAAAATAATGTTCATTTCTTTTTATACTATGTGGTTTTCATTCCTCCAGTAGGCATTGCCATTTGGAATTATTTAACAAGGAACATTTTGTCAAAATTGACAAAAATGAGAATGAGCAAGAACTGAATTTTTTTTAAGAAATAGCAAGTTCAAAAATTAACAGATTTAAATCTTTTGTGTTTTGTGCATTACCATTATTACCCATTTCATGGTTGGAAGCATAATTAGGTTAATGTGTTTGAGAAACAGGTCCTGTGAATTTTTGTTCATTTTCTGCGCTACCCCAAATGTGTGTGTATAACACTGTTTATACACATGTATAACTTTGTAACACTGTTTTAAAGACTAATGTCACCTCAAGATTTTTATGTTTCATGTCCTTTGGATTATAAACTTTCCCCAAAATGAAGGGACAGGGAAGAAAGCATCTGCTCGAGTTAAGAATCCCTATAATTGCAAGCATCACTGGTTCTGAGCAGAGGATGCGAAAAGTGAAAAGATATACTGCTGCAGAATATACATATATTTGTTGATCTTGCTTTGATAGGACATGTACCAAATTTAGAAAAAAAATGTATTTGACAGCCAAACATTTTTTTCAGGCAATAATCTTGATTATCGTACAAAGGATATTCCTTTTGATAACATGGGATATATGATGTGTGTGGTAGAGACTATACATACTATTATCGTTTTCAGAATCATCATCTAAATAAGCTGCTGTGGTTTCCACTTATCGTATAATAAATTCTTCAAAATTTCTATTTCTACCAACAATACTCATATGCATGCCTGCATGCACACACACACGGAGACTGACTAAAGATGAACAGGAAGCAGTTGGAGCGAAAGGAGAGAACAGTTCCCAGGAATTGTTCTTCAAGTAACCACTGACATCTGCTACTATCAAGTGAATAAAACGTAGGCAGTAGTAGGCCAGTTTCCTTCTTGAGTGGTAACTTAGGGAAGCCTGGTATTAACTGCCTGCAAACGAGTGCTCTATTCTCTTATTTCAGATCCCAACAACTAGCTACTTCTCCCTATTCCAGAGAGGATTCTAAACATTGCTAGGAGTCTTACACAGCTCTGTGTCCCCTGATCTGAAAGCATCATGGTCCCAGAGACCCCCCACCAGGAGACTTTATATCCAGTGAGCTCTCACTGAAAGTAGGACTGAATTTCCGGACATTGCCATTGAGAGATAGTCATGTACCCATTGTTTCTTCCCTTCTTTGGTGAAAGAGTTGATGCAACAGCAAAAGCACTTACAGGTTTTACAATTAACAGTGACAATGGCATGTGAAGCAAACATGAGCCAATTTTATAAACAGTGGCTGGGGAGGGGGAACACATTCAATTTTCCAAATAGCTGCTTTAAGTTTCACTATTGTTTTCATGCTCATATTTTCTTCCAGAAGTTTCTGGTACACACTTGTGTTATATCCAATTACCATCACCGTGGCGACTCAAAACAGTAATCTTTGACAGAATACAGTTTTCATATCCACTTGCTTAAACTAGTGCTTCTCAATTTTTAAGGTACGCATGAATTATTTTTGGGAATTTGTTATACTAAAAATTTGGAATCCAAGGCATTGGGCATGTGGAGGCTGGAATTCTGCCTTTCCCCCCAAGTGACATCCATTGCTGGTGTGTGTCTCAAGGGAGTGGAGCATTAGCTTAAGATGTAGTTATATTATGAAGTCAATAATTTTTTTTCTCTTGAATTGCCCTAGAAATGTTATAGTATTTCAAGATTCCAAAGTAAGTTTCAAATTAATTCTCAGGTAGTTAAACAGCTAACATTGCTGTGAGTTTAGTAATTGGCAGGGGGCCACAGGGCAAGGGTTAAGAGCCTGGGTGACAGAGCTCCACTTAAACTGACTGGTAGGTGCTCTTCCTAGGCTTATCCCTACTTGGGAATCAGTTTGTCTTAGACAATGTATGTCAATGCTCATGAAATGAACCTACACAGGAAATTATCTTAGCTAGCTCCCCAAATTAAGAAGAACCTGTGAAATAGCCTAAACTTACTCTCTGCTATTTGTAAATTCTGAGGTTGTAATACAATTTCCTTTGCAAACAGAGCAAATGGGTCAGTACCACTTAAAGTAAGAACCGATATCAGCAGCTAGATGAAGATAAAAAATGTTTCTCTTACATGAGTAATTAGTCCAGCCCTTGTTTTTTTCATGGGATGAGTTGCAAAGGGGAGACCTGCTTTTTGCTTTTCTCTTTGGAGGCAGCAGAAGTCACCTTAAAGCAAGCTATCCGGCATTGGATGAACCTGAATTTACATTTGAAAGTTTGTCATCTTTGGATTACAGGACCAGATTGGACAGTGAAGTGTGTAATATGATGGTACTAAATAGCAATATTTATGGAGTATTTCACATGTGTGAAGCATAGTTATCTACTGTATATTAATTACTTATTTTAATATTTCATTTAAGGCTGTGACTTTCTTATCCCCCGTTACAGATAAAAAAAAAAAAATTGAAGCTGATAGGTGGAGAAACTTGACAGAAATTAGATAACTTGTAAGTTACATAACTCAAAAATGGTAGAGCCAAGATTTGAAAACCAGGGAGCCTGTTTCCAGGGCTTTCTTTTTATGTATCAGAGGAGTAAAAAATAACATGCTTCCAGGGGCCAGTGTTGCAGAGCAGTGGGTAAGATCATCCCTTGCTTCACCCACATCCCATATCAGAATTGTGGTTGAGTCCTTGCTGCTATGCTTCCGA